TGTAATATACACTTTTTATGGAATACAAGCACCTTTTAAAAAAAAATTCTTCCTACTGAGTACCGGAATTTGTTTTTCTAGAAGAAAAAACCCTGCAAAATACATTTTTAATGTCGCATTTTGCTTTTCATGTATAGCTTAAAAATAAAATTTACAATATTATACAGAATTGCGAATTAGGATACCCACCTGTTATATTTTCTTCTACTTTATTTTATTCTCGATTGTCTTGCGTGATAATTTTTGAAGAAAATGTTATGAGGTATGAGTTAGATTATCTTCACAGCACTCCTGACACATCCATAGGCGCGCAGATTCCCCTTCACAGCACTCCTGACACATCCATAGGCGCGCAGATTCCCCTCTCAACATTTCATCAGCGTCGTGCGGTATATAGTGCCAATCCTATGTTGGTCAACAATACTTCATGTGCGTCCGTGTGATTCTCATGCTTGGCTGCCCCGATCTTAACTCACAATTCTCGTATTCTTAGCAGTGATGTGGACACGTTGCTTCCAAAATCCTCGGAACCTCCTATCTCTGAGGGCAATGACAATGTCTGCGTGATCCATGAGCCGGCCATCTTCAATTAATGCAGCACCTGGCAGTCTATCATCTCTTTCATTACCAACAACACCTGCATTCCCTGGGACGAATATGAAGGTAAACTGCACACGCAGGAAAGTTTTACAATGACTCAAACCACTGTCTGCGTAACCAGCCTGCCTCAACCCGCCGGATCGTGCTCAAAGGATCACCCAGAACACACGCGCGAGAATATTCCTGTGATTCTAGCCACATAAAAGCTTGTGTCACCACCATCACCTCCATCGTCATGCTGCTGGTGGTCATGGAGAAGGCACCGCTAGCTTCTGGAACTGTTATGCCTGAAGAGCAAGCTGTAAATGCCCATGCACTCTTTTGTCCTCGTATAACAGAAGAAAATGTATGTGCTGTCTCCAGAACAGAGGTTGGCTGCAGTAAATAAGTTGATTTGTCACCGTCCTTGAGAATTTTTCGTAGTGACGTACTATTCTTTCCACTGTGTGACTCTCGTACACACACTGTGAGAGCTAATAATAATAATAAACAACGGTAAAAATCTATGAAGACATTTTATCTCTACAAACCAAATTGTCATTCGGGGAGTAGGGGGTCCGGGGGCTTTCATTTTAGGGAAACACAAGAATACACCCACGGTTCCTTACAAAGCATGTCGAAAAGGGCAGCAAATTAAAGTTTGTTAGAATCGGATGTATTAGGTCAAAAAGGCAGAAATCGCAACCTAGCTGTAAATCACAACACAGCGTACCAATGTACAGTAACTGCTTGCATGGCCCAAACAGTTTATTTAATTTAGGATATGTTACTATAAAGTGTGTATGATAATGGAGTATACATTGATTTTGAAATATTTTATGAAAGGTTTGGCATTGGTATACATTTCCCAGAGGTAATTGAGCGGCGTATAAATTAAAATAATATATTTAATAATTTAAATTCATTGGCATCAATAACATATAATACGAGATATAGGAATTTCAAGCGCTTAAATGGGAATTTATAGCAGCAGAAAATGAATTTCTAGCACTCAAATGGTAATTTCTCGCGTGTCGATAACGAAGTTACATGTTTTTTTTTTTTTTTCAATACTGTCAGACTTTTTCTTGTGTAATTGTTGTTTTAAAAAAGTATATGCGACTCTACAGAGCACATTACAATTGGGGGGGGGGGGGGGATAAGGATGTTGCGGGTGGTTTTTGTTTGGCCGGGGGGGGGAGGGGGAGGGGGCATCATTTTCCTAACACAACACCCACACAGAGAGTGAAGTGGGGTAACACGGGACAATATTGTTTGAGTTGGTTGAGGTCTTATGCTCCATTGGGAGTACAATATTGGGTAGAGAAAAGAAGAAACCGTCCGGAAGTTTAGCCGATTACCCACGCGATACCGATAACGTAAACCACCATAATAGTAACACTCATGATCATAAACGTTAGGGCAGCCCTGTTGAAAATTCATAATTAAAACCAGAACCGTCAACTTCCAGACTGTTAATTCATCGTTTGGAAGAAGTTTTGTTTCCATAGGTAAATATTTGTAGGTTAGTATGAAGATTTAACTTATAGTTTAGGTTCATGTTGAAAACGCCGGCTGCGTGTGAACTGTACTGTTCGTCTCGTCTGCTAAATAAATTATAAAATGCCGGCCGGCTTCAGTTGCGAGTTTTTCTGTCGTGCGTATTTTTGCTCACAAGGTCATACTTTTAGGGAAAACAAACAGATACACACACAAACAGCATGATTTTAGTTTAAATGCTGTTGTAGCGGCTAACGCAAAAGAAATAGTAAATAACATGATATTCAATATTCTAACCGGTGATGACGTTTGATTCTGCCTTTTAGTGTTTTATAATAGTTAGTACTAACTTTTAGTTTTACTAGTAACAGAATGGTCTCGAAATGAAAGGATAACATGTTTGTTAATTGTTGGAATGTTCCGAACACTCAGTACTACTACGCGTAGAATAACAACAGTTATTACGAACCTTGTGAGTGAGAGAAACTAAATAATAACGCTTAGCGTACATTGAACTATGAACTCTTGTGAGTTGTGCTCTACTGTAAGCTCAAAAAGAGCGTAGAAAAGAAAGTAGAGGCACGCCGGCTATCTAAAAGTACTGGTAACCCGGCGTAGGCGAGGTCATTTGTCAACGTAATTATTGCGTGAAGATGAAGATGCAAAGGAGACGTAGTTAGGCAATTGTAAACATGTTTTTGATAAATAGTTTGCGAGAAGCAGCTGCTGACTATCAAACAACAACATTTCTCAATGCCATCTTCTAGGTATAAAAGTAGCTGAGTCAAACAGCTCTAGCAATTTTCAATTTTGTTCGCTACCCAAAGCTAACAGAAACTACAAGACCAAGCATTGCAGGAAGTGCAGGCATTCTTCGAGTCCGTAAGAAATATTGCATTTCATTATTAATCATATAGTAATTTTTCAGTAATCGATACTAGTTGTTAAAAGCGAATATAGCGCTATGTGCAGTTCAGTAGATATCTGTGTATCAAACAGCATGCGTGTATGTTTGGTAAATTTCGCTTCTAGTTTAGCGTAAATGTAAAAATTTATTCGTTAACCCCGGGTTTCATGTTAAACTACACTCTGCAATTAAAATTTTGAATTCTTGTGAGTTTTGTCTTAAAGTTATGTAATGTCAACTAAAATTTCAATGTTTTTGCCATCATTTCTTTGGAATAAGCAAAAAAAATTTAAAATGGTGTCAATGCTGTGACTGTTTAAACTGAAAAAGCTGGTTATTTGGAAAAATAATTGTAAAATAATGGAAGCTTAGTTTTACTAGTAATTTATTTTGTTGCTTTCATTATTAATCATTTTAAATTGTTACAATTTTGTACTTGCTAATTTTGGACACATTTTAATGACTAAATAAATAATTTGGCCGCAAAATATCCAGCCGAGCTGCAGTCACGTGTCAATTGCGCTCTTCCGGCTACTTAATTTGCTGTCTTCCGGCGGTTTTCCGCCAACAAACCACTTCTGCCATGTGGCCCCCACGCCGCTCATGCGGCGTGGATTGGGGCTAAACTAGATGGCTAGGACTCAAGAGCAGCAGCTTCCGCATCTCCTGCAGCCTTGCTCGTGAGTCCTAGTCATCTAGTTTAGCCCCAATCCATAGCAGTGTGGGGCGCACATTAAGTAGCCGGAAGCGCGCAATTGACACGTGACTGCGGCTCGGCTGGATATTTTGCGGCCGCCATCTTTGCCGACCGTTAGTCGGAGGATAGCCAATAATTTAATGTTTCAGAATTTGAAGCTTGAGGCTAGGCATACCATTACATTATCATGTGGCAGGTCTTCTGCAGAACGCCACTTTCATTACAATCTCCTGAAAGAAAGTCACTCTCTCGCCGGCTCGCCTGCCTCCGGCACTTTTCTTTTGCCCGCCCAAGGTGTTTCTTATATTTTGTGTCATCTTGGTTCTGGTCAGCTCCTGCCACCTCTATGCCTATCCCATGTCATCCACTATTATTATTTCCAGTCCTCTGAGGTGCTTGATATGGCCAAAATATTTCTGTGCCTGAGTCAAGATGCTGTTTATGAGCTTATCTTCTTTCATCATGTTCAGATATTTTAGGATAACAGTTTTTCTTTTCTCATTGGTCATTGCTATTCTGAAAATGTTTCTATAGCATTTCAGCTCAAAAACCTTATTTTCTTTTTTAATATTTGCATGATTGTCAATCTCTCACATCCATGTGTTGCTGCAAGAAAGATACATAATGACTTTGATTTCCTTGCTGATGCTTAGCTATAAAAATTTTAGTTGCTGAGCACAGACAATTCCAATTCAGTGATGACCTGCAGACCAAATCTGGCCCACGGAGGCCTGCAGATCAAATCTGGCCCATGGAGGCCTGCAGATCATTGCCACGATATTTCTATGTTCAGGCTCGGGGCCTCTGGTCTGTGATGATCCCCATTTACAAAATGTTGGCTCCTGAGGAAACTTAGTTGAATAGCCTTGCTGTATGTGATCCTGCTAAATTTGTGGTAATGATGGACACATGCAGCCGTGTTAATTTGGTACTTCTGTTGACTGCTCTTTTCTTTTTTAATTTGTTGATTGAATGGATCTTGAATTAAGAATCAATATCACAGCACTCGGGACACTCCCATAAGTGCTCAGTCCACCATCTCCAGGAGCAAGCGAAGCGTTCCAATTCTGATACTACCAGTAACTGTCTGATTGTATGTCCATCTCATCCTTCCCCTGAGTGTTGAGCGTCGGCCAGATCCTCTGGTAATTCCTTGCAGTGACATTCTCCTTAGACCGTAATGGTCTATCTGCGCCTCCGCACTGTTTACTCTCTCCCAAAGGGCCCTCACAATATCTAACTTGTTGTTTTCATTTGTCAACAGATTCAGCAAATACCTACAGATAACTGCTCAGTTTACTGCTTCCATATTTCAAAATGGCTGAAATCAAAGTAGAGAGCCCTAATGTAAAGTACACCGAAGATTACATTGAAGCCAGATATGCCTATCAGACAACCAAGGTCAGAGTAGAGGGAAAGAATATCATTGCGACACCCAAGGAGGAGACTTATGTCTTTAGAACTGATCGCCGTGTCCCTAAGCTCGGGGTCATGCTTGTCGGGTGGGGCGGAAACAACGGCACCACAGTTACTGCGGCCGTACTGGCAAACAAAATGGGCATGTCCTGGAACACCAAGGAAGGCGTCCACACGGCAGACTATCTTGGTTCCATAACTCAGGCCAGCACAGTGTCTTTAGGCCTTGGCCCATGTGGAGAAATGTTTGTGCCCATGAAGACGCTGCTGCCTTTAGTTGATGCAAATGATATTGAGTTTGATGGTAAGTTGTAGTTTTTTAGTGTGTGTATTTTGTATAGATGACTTGGATCACTCTAGGTTTTAAGGTTAGCTGTGTATCCTTTATAGGACGTTGCAGAATCAACCCCAACAGCCCCTGGCTGTTGTGTGGTTTTTCTAGGCAAATTTACTTCCAGTAGTTTACCATTGCTTTCTGGACGGTCAGCTTTCTTTATACCACTGTCGAAACCAACGCAAGGCACATGGCCTGCAGTTGGGATCGAACCCGGCATTATGAAGCGTTCGCATCGACTTAGCCACAGAGCCGACCTAGGTTTTAAGACAACCCTGAAAATTCATCATCAGTCAGATAAGCCAAAAGGAGTGGTTTATCAGGTTTGGTTCATTGACATACCTCCTTTCACCTTTGGGGCTAGATAGTGAAGTTAAACAGATGGGAAGCACATAGGAAGAGCTGCAAGCAATAGCAAAGGATAGAACCACTTGGTAAGAGTTGGTTGAGGGCCTATGCTGCACTGGGGGATAGACGGCAGAAGAAAAAGAATAGTCAGGAAACACCTGCTGTTGTTGGATCATCAGGTGCTGTTGACTGTCTGATCAGTTCCCACCACCACTGTTGATCAGATGCAATGGACTTCTTGTTTGCATGTTTGAGGCGTATCCAGTCCACCAGATTCTGTATCCAGATCCTCCTTTGTCTGTCCTTTCTCTTTCCCTCTCTGAACCCTCTAGTATTGTTTTGGAGAGGCTGGTATATGTTATTACATGTCTGTACCATTGCATTTAAAAAAAAAATCTTTACTCTTTTTTAAGAGAAGCTCATAGGCGTCAGTGTGTTGGGTGATGATAGGTTGAGCGTGAATGTCAACACTGCCCATTTAAGAATTCTTGTGGTATAACGAAGAAAGGACAAGAAAGCATAATATTCACTTACAGATGAATGAAACTTTACTTTTCAGAATCCAATTTATCTCCTGGCCTGGGTTTCCCATTCAGCACACTCACACCCTCATAGCAAATTGAAAACAGGGTTACCACACAGAATTGTTTCAGTATTACCATTGGCATAGGCCCGTTGCTAGAATCCTGCTATCAAGACGAATGGTGATTGCTGTGTATATTTCAGTGTTTATTTATGTAGTCAGGAGGTTGAAACTCCAGATCCTACACCAGAGCTATTTCTTTCAACTGGTGGCTCGTGGGCCACATCTGGCCCTAGGAGGACTAGCAAGTAGCCTGTAGATCATTGCCAGTTGTTTCAACGATTTTTCTCTGCTGAGTGATGCTTGAGCCTCTGGCTCGTAACGATCGCCATTTTCAAAATATTGGCCCCTGATGATTGCCATTTTCAAAATGTTGACCCCTGATGATCGCCATTTTCAAAATGTTTGCCTCTGACGATGCCCATTTTAAAAATGTTGGCCCCTGACGATCCCCATTTTCAAAATGTTGGCCCCTGAGTAAACTTAGTTGAAGTGATTATTGCTGCTGTAATATAAAAATTCCTAATTGCATTCCAGGGTTTACATCATGGGTTGGGGTTTCCCTCTCTCCCCTCCCCCTCTCTCCCCTCCCTCTCTCTCCCTTTCCCTTCATAAACAGAGGTTCAACAAGTCTCCCTTTCCTGGGGAAGGAACTGGTCAGTCCACCTTGTATGTCATGGCCTAGATTATAGGAAGGCCCAACACCTCCTTATCGGTGTTGCAGAGACTGTGCACTGTGGAGCTTCTTTGAACTCAGACTTGAGTTGGAAGCAGAACAGAGCACTTATGGTTACTACCCGTGTGCTATGATGTTAATCCGTTGTTCAAACTTCAAACTTATTGCTATGCACTAATCTGTGTTTGAAATCAACAGGTTGGGATATTTCTGGCATGAATTTGGGCGATGCCATGAAGCGTGCCAAAGTGCTTGATTACAACCTCCAGATGCAGCTGTATCCATACATGTCCAAGTTGAAGCCACGCCCGTCGGTGTACATTCCAGATTTCATTGCAGCTAATCAGAGATCTCGTGCCGATAACTTGCTGTCAGGAAGTTTGGAGGAGATTGTGCACCAGATCCGGGCAGATATACAGGATTTTAAGGCCAAGAAAAATTTGGATAAGGTCAGTGTCTTCTTTTTATAGTCTGTGCTTTATGTCGGTAGTCATGTATATCCACATCCTTCTGTCTCGGGATCAGAAATGTCATCGCCTCCACCTTAATTCTTATGCTGTGATGCTTTAATATGAAGAATCTTTATTACAGTGCATAGGTCATGTTAAAGTAACACCATTGGTGCATAGGTCATATGTTAAAGTAACACCATTGGTGCATAGGTCATATGTTAAAGTAACACCATTGGTGCATAGGTCATATGTTAAAGTGACACCATTGGTGCATATGTCATATCATATAGTAACAACATTGGCACATTGATCATATCATAAAGTAACAACATTGGCGCATAGGTCATCATCATAAAGTAACAACATTGGTGCATAGGTTATATCATAAAGTAAAACCATTGGTGTATAGGTCATATGTTAAAGTAACACATGTTAAAGTAACACCATTGGTGCATAGGTCATATGTTAAAGCAACACCATTGGTGCATAGGTCATATGTTAAAGTAACACCATTGGTGCATAGGTCATATGTTAAAGTAACACCATTGGTGCATAGGTCATATGTTGAAGTAACACCATTGGTGCATAGGTCATATGTTGAAGTAACACCATTGGTGCATAGGTCATATGTTAAAGCAACACCATTGGTGCATAGGTCATATGTTAAATTAACACCATTGGTGCATAGGTCATATGTTAAAGTAACACCATTGGTGCATAGGTCATATGTTAAAGTAACACCATTGGTGCTTAGGTCATATGTTAAAGTAACACCATTGGTGCTTAGGTCATATGTTAAAGTAACACCATTGGTGCTAAGGTCATATGTTAAAGTAACACCATTGGTACATAGGTCAAATGATAAAGTAAAAGACCCTTTTCTGTGCCATTAGGCGTATTGAGCATATAGAGCTAGACCTATATTTTATACACCAGTCACCACTTTTTGGGTGATGTGGTCAACATCACGCTGGCCACCTTTACTTCCCAGGACTTGACCTGGTACCCATTTGAAGCTGAGTCGACTTGGGAGCCAAGATCATATTTTTCCAAACAGTGGCTGTGTAAGGACCCGAACCCACAACCCCCTGATCCGTAGATAAACGTCTAGCCGCTACACCACGGCAGCTTTTCTGGTCATATGCTGTACTGTTTTTATAGACCAGTTAGCACTAGGTTGGTGATGTGCTGAGCATCATGCCAGGCGCCTTTACTTTCTAGTGCCTATTTTAGGCCGGGTCGACCTGGGAGTCAGGGTCACTTTTTGATATCCCACTTGATAGGATTCAAACCGAAAATCTTCCAAACTGGATGAGAGCATAGCTACAACACCACTGCGGCTCCCACTTTGTTTAAGGCTCTCCTTTTTCAAGCAACAGACAGAAGAAAACAAGGTGGTAGTTTCAGCTTAATATCATCATCATGTAGCAGGTCCTTTGCAGAACGTCGCTCTCATCACAGTCTGCCTGAAAGAAACTCGGTCTCTCGTCAGTTCTCCCGCCTCATGTACTTTTATACTCAAGGAGTCACTTATATCCTGTGCCCATCTTCGTGTCGTCGGCCCCTGCACCTCCTTCCTGGTACCATGCCTTCTGCTATAATTTTTTCTAATCCGTTGTGGCGCTTGATGTGACCAAAATATTTCAGCTTTAGAGAAAGGATGCTGTTTATTAGCCAATCTTCCCTGATGTTCAGATCTGTCAAAATGTCAATATTTTTCTCTTCTTTGTCCAAGATATTCTGAGAATCTTTCTATAGCATTTCATCTCAAAAGTCCCTATTCTCTTTCTTAAGGACTGAGAGATAGTCCACGACTCACATCCGTATGTAGCCACAGGGAAGATGCATGCTCTCAAAATTCTAATTTTCATCTTCTTGCTAGTGCTTAACCATAGACTTTTAAGGCTGTTCAATCTTTGCATTGCTATGGCCATCCTCCTTTTAATTTCTGTTGAACAGTCTCCATTGCTGTTTATTACAGAGTCTAGATATTCAAAGTTTGTGGCATTTTCAATTTCTTCAACATTTATTATTATTTTTGGGTGACAGCCAGTTTTATCTGTGGACATTATTTTTGTTTTCTTTAAATTCAAGAACAGATTTTGATCTTCACTGTGCTTTTGGACAGACAATATTAAATTTTCTATTCCCTTTACGCTGGTCGAAAGGAGGACTGTGTCATCTGTGTAGCGGAGTTCCGGAATGGGGTTGCCACCAATTTTGAGTGGATCATAACTGTCACAAGTCTGGTCATTTTTGACATTTCTCATTATATTTTCTGAGTATATATTGAATAGGTATGGTGAGAGAATGCACCCTTGCCTCACCCCCATTTGCACCTCGAACCAATCAGATGTTTCACCAGCTGCTCTGATGGCTGCTTGTTGTTCATTATAGAGATTTTCAATTAAATGCACTAAATATCTTTAATAATATCAGCTTAATATACCAATGTTTATTTTATCACTAGGTGATTGTTCTGTGGACGGCCAATACTGAGCGGTTTGCAGATGTCAGAGACGGTCTCAACGACACAGCTGAAAATCTGTTGAACAGTATCAAGAGAGGAGAGTCTGAGATCTCACCGTCCACACTGTTTGCTGTTGCCTCCATTTTGGAAGGAGTCACCTACATCAATGGATCACCACAGAATACATTTGTCCCAGGTAAAAGATCATTTTACTGAATGTCGAACAACCAACCCCAGCATTCTTTTGCTGTGATTTTACTGTGTTGTTTTACGTTCTGTAGTTTGTCATTGCTTCTGAAATCAGCTGTCAATCACCGCCTAGTGGTTCACTGCCAAATTGACAGCATCTGATATCAAACGGGTAATTCAGTATTACAGAGCATATTTGCGATGCCTAAGGTATAGATGTCTATAAAAATTATAGCTTGTTGGATTTTAATGCAACAGAATTTCATATCAAACAATTACTACAAATACTGCTTATACAGTTATCTTTTCCCTGTGTGGGTTCCGGGGCCCTATTATAGGGAAAACAAGAATAGACCCACTGCCTGCTTAAAAGCATGTCACAAGAGTCGACTTATTGGGAGCTTCCTTCGAAGTAGGAGTGCATCTGCCCAAGAGGCAAGGAACCAACAGTCTGCATACAAATTTGTCAGATCTGTCAGACAGATGCACATGCAACACTCGGGTTCTGGAACAAAACTGCAGTCCAGAAGTGGATGAACAGCCAGAGTTTACAGCCGGTGAACAAGAAGAAGAAGAACAGTTGTCCTGTTTGCATTACTGATGTCACTCGCCAACTGACCTGAAATGTCTTGGGTTCAAATCTGCGTAGAGTTTTGGCATTTTTCAGAACTGACTTAGTTCCCCTGCCCTTTCCCCTTTTTTCCTGAACGCAAAGAAAGAGGTATCTTCTTCTGTTCATATCGGGCTGTGATGTTGAATGTACTTCACGGAGGAGCTACTACCTTTCTAGCTAGACATTATTTGTATGTTTATTCCTTCTTGGCTTGATGGCTGCCAAGCCAAGTGGGTAATTGTGCAGGAAATCGTTTTGAATTATGAGTTTCCTCGTGTAGGTTCCTGAGTTCTATTGTGAGGCGGTAGTGCAACCCCCCCCCCCCCCCCCCCCCCAGAAAGCATGATGTACAAGGTAACTAATTAGTAGTATTTCTAAAAGTCTAATTTGCTTGAGAGGCAATGATCCAACAGTTTGCATACACATAAACCAGGTCTGTAAAAAGATGTGCATGTAAAACCCACATTATGTAACAAGAAGTCCAGAAGTGTATAAAAAACCAGAAATTTCCACTGGAATTTACAATTGGAAAATTCTAAAAAGAATTAGGGATTTTCCCCCGACTGTTCTCAGCAGTGCAGAACCCCATTTCCTCTGTGGTAAAAAATAACAAATACTGTATACTACTACTACTTCACATTCACTGGTGTAAACTATGGCGGGAAGTTCTGGTTGTTCATCCCCTTCCAGACTTTAGTTTTGATCCATAGCTTGAGTTTTGCATGCACATCCGTTTTTACAGATCTCTGTCTTATTTTTGAAATATTGGTTCCTCACCTGTCAGGAGATGTAGTTCGACTTCCAAGAAAGCACCCCAAAGCAGTGGTCTTTTAAAATATGCTCAGTTGCGGGAAGGGGGGCATGGGTCTATCCCCCCCCCCCACCCCACCTTCCCGGGGGGTTGGGGGGAACACATAAAAGAATCATTTCTGAAAGTTATTGGAAGGAAAGGGAATTTGGCTACCCAACTTCAAACGTCTTGGCCTAGAATATGTGAAGGCCTCAAATTTCACACCCCAGTGATGGTATCTCCACTGGAAGTACCTTTACAATAGTAGGCACCATCACTTGCACTATGGAGTGTAAAAGAAGAATAAATATATATTATTTAGACTAAATAATATATATTTATTCTTCTTATAGTCCATACCATAGGATGTTGGTAGTCAGGTCTATTCACAACCTTCTGTCTCATGTAGTTTTGACAAATGTGTTCTTCCACGCCATGATCTCAGACTGTCCAGAATCTTTTCTTTAGGTCTTCCTCTGCCTCTTCTCTCCTCCATCTTTCCCACCATTATTATGTACTCTGATTTTCTCATGACCTGACCAGAATGTAGATTGTCTCCTGATGTGGGTAATCATTTCTCTTTATAAGTCAGTTTCTTCTGTTCAGGACACATTGTTTAAGTTATATTGTATTTTTTCTCAACAGGTGTTATAGAACTGGCAGAGAAGAAGCGGGTGTACATTGGCGGCGATGACTTCAAGTCTGGTCAGACAAAACTGAAATCTGTCTTGGTGGATTTTCTTGTCAGTGCTGGCATCAAACCAGTATCGATAGTTAGCTTCAACCACCTGGGCAACAACGATGGGGAAAATCTGTCGGCACCAGAGACATTCAGATCCAAAGAGGTAGGTAGCCATTGTGAGTTTAAAGACAGATTGGCTGGTTCTAAACCACATAGTGATAAATTGATGCACAACAAATATTAACAACCTTTTAAATTATTTTGTACAGTTGACAGAACTATAACATTTTGTTTCTCATCTTTAAGGCTGCAAGATTCTTGACCTGTTTGATAGAACTATACCATTTGGTTTCTTCTGTGTAAGGCTGCAAGTTTCTTTACCCAGCTGACAGAACAATACCATTTTGTTTCTTCTGTGTAAGGCTGCAAGTTTCTTTACCCAGCTGACAGAACAATACCATTTTGTTTCTTCTGTGTAAGGCTGCAAGTTTCTTTACCCAGCTGACAGAACAATACCATTTTGTTTCTTCTGTGTAAGGCTGCAAGTTTCTTTACCCAGCTGACAGAACAATACCATTTTGTTTCTTCTGTGTAAGGCTGCAAGTTTCTTTACTCATTTGACAGAACTAAACCATTTTGATTCACCTATGTAAGGCTGCAAGTTTCTTTACCCAGTTGACAGAACTAAACCATTTTGATTCACCTATGAAAGTCTGCAAGTTTCTTTACTCAGTTGACAGAACTAAACCATTTTGTTTCACCTATGTAAGGCTGCAAGTTTCTTTACTCAGTTGACAGAACTAAACCATTTTGATTCACCTATGTAAGGCTGCAAGTTTCTTTACTCAGTTGACAGAACTAAACCATTTTGTTTCACCTATGAAAGTCTGCAAGTTTCTTTACTCAGTTGACAGAACTAAACCATTTTGTTTCACCTATGTAAGGCTGCAAGTTTCTTTACTCAGTTGACAGAACTAAATCATTTCGATTCACCTATGTAAGGCTGCAAGTTTCTTTACTCAGTTGACAGAACTAAACCATTTTGTTTCACCTATGTAAGGCTGCATGTTTCTTTACCCAGCTGACAGAACAATACCATTTTGATTCACCTATGAAAGTCTGCAAGTTTCTTTACCCAGTTGACAGAACAATACCATTTTGTTTCACCTATGAAAGGCTGCAAGTTTCTTTACCCAGTTGACAGAACAATACCATTTTGATTCACCTATGAAAGTCTGCAAGTTTCTTTACCCAGTTGACAGAACAATACCATTTTGTTTCACCTATGAAAGGCTGCAAGTTTCTTTACCCAGTTGACAGAACAATACCATTTTGATTCACCTACGAAAGGCTGCAAGTTTCTTTACCCAGCTGACAGAACAATACCATTTTGATTCACCTATGAAAGGCTGCAAGTTTCTTTACCCAGTTGACAGAACAATACCATTTTGTTTTACCTATGTAAGGCTGCAAGTTTCTTTACTCAGTTGACAGAACTAAACCATTTTGATTCACATATGAAAGGCTGCAAGTTTCTTTACCCAGCTGACAGAACAATACCATTTTGATTCACCTATGAAAGGCTGCAAGTTTCTTTACCCAGTTGACAGAACAATACCATTTTGTTTTACCTATGAAAGGCTGCAAGTTTCTTTACCCAGCTGACAGAACAATACCATTTTGATTCACCTATGTAAGGCTGCAAGTTTCTTTACTCAGTTGACAGAGCTATAACATTTTGTTTCTCCAAATTAGATCAGCTTGTTTCTTTACCAAAACATAAATTTTACTTTGTTTTGCCACTATTTCTCTTTTGCCATACAGTGTAAATGTCTCCCTTTTCTCCCCAGATATCTAAAACCAATGTTGTTGATGATATGGTCAATTCCAATTCCATACTGTACAAGCCTGGAGAGAAGCCTGACCACGTGGTTGTCATCAAATACGTTCCATACGTGGGAGACAGCAAGCGGGCCATGGATGAATACATCTCTGAGATCATGATGGGAGGCCGCAACACCATTGCTATCCACAACACCTGTGAGGACTCTTTGCTGGCTTCACCTCTTATCCTTGACTTAGCTATCATTGCTGAAATTTGTGAGCGTATTGAATTCCGTCTTGAAACAGAGAGTGAGTTCCATAGATTTAATGCAGCCCTGTCCATTCTCAGTTTCCTGTGCAAAGCTCCTCTGGCTCCAAGGGGTACTCCTGTGATAAATGCTTTCTTCAAACAGAGGGCATGTATTGAAAATATCTTCAGGGCTTGTATCGGTCTCAGCCCCATCAACAACATGGCCTTGGAGTACAAACATGAAGTAATTCCTAGTGAGCTTCAGCATGCCGCGCTGAAAAGCACCAGCACCATTGCTCATTTACAAGATAATGGACCAAAGGGTATTGCAAAGAAATCTCTACTAAATGGGCATGTTAATGGTGCGCATATTCCAAACGGGCATGTTTTATGTGAGGTCAACGGGTTGGATTGTAATGGGGAAAGGTAAAAACTTTTTTGCACTTGAATCATTAAAAAGTGGCTTCTTGCAATTGGATCATTTGAAATTGTCTTTTTTTTTTTTTTTTTACATTGGGGGTTGAAAAAGGAAACTAAAGAAATTGTTTTGATTCAGATTGCATGTTAGTAACAAATACAGCACATCAGTTCCCACATTGTTTGTGACATTTCCACTTTATGGTTTCAGTATTTCTGTTTATCTAGTAACCCCAAAGTTTGTCTGAATATTTATCCTGTGTTAAACACTACCAGAATGATTCAGATGTTCAGAAATGCAAGTTGTCAAAATGCAGTTTTCAGTGCGGGTTGTAAACTGTGAAACTTCCAAACAAAATTACTGCTGTCCTCTGCATGAATGATCTTTTTGGATGATACTCTATTCTGCATGCTGGCTCCTGTTTTTTTTTTTTTATCTGTTTGGATAATACTCTTGTCCTCTTTTTTTTCATATCCTTAAATATACCTGGGTATTATTCTCTTTTTTTTTATTTTGGAAAACATCTTTTGTTTTAAAAAAAAGACAATCATTCTCAGTTCATCACTACACCCTACTAGTTAATATATTGAACATATATCTGTGTAAACTTGTGCATGGTTGTTCAAGACATCATTGGAGGGATGTTTCTGTTTTTTATTTGACCGAGTTTGAATGTTGTGATAGAGTCACTGGTGTGGAGCTTTAGGGAAAAGGACTAGATGGATTCCAGTTGGTGAAGAACTAAAGAGGGGACACTGGTGTTGGATAGCACACACATCAAGAAAACAAGACAGAAATAAAACTTATATCTTGGGGGGGGGGGGGATGAAAGGGAAGTTAAAATGGATATGGGGCAAAGGGAACTAGAGAGCAAAGTTTAACAAGATATGAAAGACATGGGTTGAGCTTCTTGCAATAAGCAAAGAATAGAATGACTTTGTGTAGGTTAGTTGAGGGCCTTTGCTCCACTCAGTGACAATGGGCAGAAGAAGAGAAAGACTTTACCAAAAAATCCATTGTAAGAGAGCTATAATTTGATAGTGTCTGAAGAGAGAATGCTGTAAAATGCAGTTTTGTATAGTATATCACATACTGAATATATGTACACACTTGTTATATTGTTCTTGTCTCAATTACCATATCATGGATGTCGAAGTCACCTAAATGTTATTTTGGATTTTCATCTGAGTGGGCTGTTACTTGTCCGTCACTCTACAAGATGACAAAGGCAGGCATGTTTATTGTTGCTCCAAACAGGTCAGAATCAAGTATTACTGTCCACTCAGCTGCACAATTTTCATTTGCCACTTGAGAGAAAGACCTGATTTTCTTGAAACAAAAGATTTAGGTGACTTCGGCGCAGTTCCAACGAATTAACTCGCCTTCAAAATAAACACCTGGACCAGCAAATACATCTGTAAATACAAATCATTCAGCAGGAAACGCACGTATTTGTCTTCTTCCTTACCAGTGTAAAATTATTTTAACTCTTCATCCAGAGAAGATCTGATTTATAGTATCCGATATTTGAGCCATAATAAGTTTGAAATAATAACTTATAAGCAGAGGGAGTTCAAGTGACAGTGAAGATTACTGGGTTAAAGTGATAACCACTACCAGCTTTAATGTGAGAGTGAGAAATGTCTGTGGACTAACTAATGAACACGTCATGAGTTGCAGGGTACCAAAGAGTTAAGATAAAGGGGAACCACGTGAATTTCAAGGGCTTGTCAATTATAAAAAAAAAAATTTTTATTCTTTGAGAAGCCTGCTTTAATAAGGGTATAAATGATAGTGGTTTTTCCTTGTTTTCTGTTGTCTGTAAGTTTTGAAGAAAAAAACAGCCCCCCAACTCCCCCCAAAAAAAATGTGTGGACATCAAAAAAAGGCATCATTATTTCTAGCCACATTATAAAAGAAAAAGGGATCATATTGTGATAGCTGGACACATTCAGGGAAAGGGAAATAGACAATAAGAGATTATTCCTGACAGCCTTTTATCGTGGAGTGGAAATGTATCAGCATTCACGAGATATGGACAGGTATGATCGCTACCATCATGGGTAGTATTTGTGTGAACAATTGTAGCTCTCTTAGCATATTTCAATGTAAGGCTCTCTTACATTGTAGCGAATCTCTTCTTCTTTTTTTTATTACTTTGTACATCCTTGTTTGAAAGGAGTTTCTCATAACTGCCAATGTGGCTAACATTGCTACATAATTTTAGATATTTGATCCCTATTTTTTTAAAAGCTTTTTTGATTGTCAACGCTTTAAAGTGAACTTAACACAAGTTTTTGTTCTTTTATTTTCTTTAAAAAAAACTTTTTTTTTTAAATGGTGGAATGATTGATAAATTTACAATATTGTAAATTAATTAAAATTTGTATTGGCATTATTGTAAAATTATTTAAATGTGATGGTCATTAGAGAGTAAGATGTGTGTTTAATCATTTCAGATCTATTTTGATTCTCTGTGGTTAAGATTTGTTGTGTTTTCAAATATCTGGATACCATTTGATTGTCCTGTTCTTATTTTGATTGTAATTGTATTTCGGTGAGGTATATTTAAAAAAAACTTTCTGTACGTGAGTTTTTTTTATGGCGTACCAAGAACTCAGGAAGATGTGAGACAATAAACAAAGCACAGAGTCGCAATGAAACACAGGAAACACCTGGAAGGAAGGGGGAGGGGTGTAGGAGTTGGAGAGTGAAGTTGGGATGACACAGGGTGAGCTGCATATGATGACAAATGTTTATGTTTATTTGATGGATCATCATGGCACACAGGTGTAACACAAAAGTGCTCCATTCTACTTCTAACTCAAGCCCGAGCTGAAAGAATCTCAGCGCAGTGCACAAACTCCATTGCACCGGCAGGGATCCTGAAATACTTAGATGGGTAGATATTTAACTGCACATTTTTTGCCCGGACAGCTCCGTTAGGCTACTTTTTTAGATTTCCAGCTGCCAAGGGATTTTTTTTTTTACGTGTGCCAGCAAAGGATAGGACAACTTGGCATTAGTTGTTTTGAAGACCAGTACTCCATTGTAACCATGACGTCCATCGCAACTTACCGCCAGAGGTGGAGAGAGCTGATCAGACATTCAACAGAAACTGGTGATCCAACGACACGCAGTGTTACGGGATGATGATGTGGATGACACTCTATTGCGGATAAAAGGCAAAAGAAGAAGAGTACTGGCCACATGGTTTCCAAAAGGTATGTGACATGTTGCAGTAGCACAGTATTAGATGAGCCTCAGTCTTCTAAACTACACGTCTCCAGACATCTTTTTTTGTGTGTGTTTGCTTGAAGAGGTTTGGTTTTATGATGTTTTATTTTGCCTTTAGGATTTATTTAAAGGGTTGTAGTGTTTTCTGTGACAAAATTGAAAGCAAGATAACTGCCTTAGTAAAGTTGAGATAACATAAATTTTATCGTCTCAGCTTATTAAATGAAGGTTTGTTATTACATTAAGGATATTGTCTGATGCTGTCGAGCTTGTATTTACAGAATAATTTGTGTGTCCATTCATAAATGACATATGTCTGGCATAATTTGTATTTGTGACAATAAATATATTGTGAGAATATTGGTGTCATATGTTTTTATTTTGCTTGTGTGAAATTAATCAGTATAAAACTTGTATGTGGAAAGTAAATTGTATGTGTGAAGCATCAGTTCCTTTTCTTTCCTATTATTGAAAAATTGTGTAGGAAATACTGATTCATGTAGATGTGGTATAATGATAACTAAACATCTAATGGTATGAAACGATCACTAAAGTGGAATTTTGGAGATAACTGAAAATATTCCAAGTTACAGGAGGATTGACATTTTCACAATTTTTATTCCATACTGTTATCTTTTAAGTCTGAGTTCATCTGCTTGAGAGCTAAGGAACTGACAGTCTGCATACAAATAAGTCAGATCTGTAAAAATGGATGTGCACACAAAACAAATTCTGGAACAAGACTAAAAGTCCTGAAGTGGATGAACAACCATACATTTCTGCCGGATCCCAAAAGATTCCATACAGTTCTCCCAGTCCACAAAACAGCTAGACACCTGCCAAAAGTGTCACACGAAAGGCAGTTGCCCTAGCTCAATCGATGACTATAAACTTTGCAGTTGAGAACTGAGCAACCGATCCAGGAAACAAACCCATGACTTTTGGAAGTATGAGGCAAATGGCTTGATCACAACAGTTAACTGAGAGGGAAAGATAGGCTTACACAGAGAAAATGTGATAACTATAACTTTAATGGACCAACACTGGACTCCACAGAGAAAATGTGATAACTATAATCTACCAACACTGGAACCCACAGAGAAAATGAGATAACTATAAATATAATGTACCAACACTGGACCCCACAGCGAAAATGTGATAACTATAATGTACCAACACTGGACCCCACAGAGTTAAAGGGATAGAATCAAATTAAAAATCATCATCAATTGCCTTACTGACTGGCGTGGGCGATCACGCCTCTCTACAATCTGCGATCAGCAACTGCATATATCAGTTCGTATGTTGATATTCCTTTACAAAAGACTGTCAAGAATCTTCTCACGCTGTATTCCTCTGTCGCTTTTTCCAGATATTTGCAGTGGTTACAACATGCTCCATTTTTCCTCTTCTCATAACATGAGTCGGCTCTGTGGCTAAGTCAATGCAAATGCTTCGTAATGCCGGAATGCTGGGTTGGTTCGATCCCAGCTGCGTGCCTTGTGTCTTGCAGTGGTATCAAGAAAGCCAACCGTCCAGAAAGCAATATCAAATTACTGGACGTAAATTTACCTAGAAAAACCACAGCCCCTGGCTGTTGGGGATGGTTCTCCAACGTTTTGTAAAGGATACACAACTAACCATAACATGACTAAACAATGATGTCTGTCTGTCTCTAATGTTTATGATAAGTTGTCTATGAGCATTCGCCTCTTTCAAAATATCTGGGTTGCTCTTCTTAGCTGTCCAAGGAATTCTAAGGATTATTCCGTAAA